ATATTATCAATAATATAAGATAATTTACAAACTTTGTACAATAAACTAGCTTAAATTATTCTCGTGTAGATTTTGTCATTTTTCTATACTTAAAATATTTTTTCACGAAATTGTTTGACGCTCGTATACAGGATGATCAGTTAAGCTGAAAGTAAAAATTTTGTAAAACAATACTTTTTGTCCATACTCAATTCCGCGATCGATAGTGCGTGCGAAGAATATCGAAAGCAAAAGCTGAACTAACGATCACGCCGGTTGTGCACGTCATATGATTATATGGAACTTAATTGACGGACAATCATCGGAATCAATGAAATCCTACCCGTTATGTTAAGTCCGCTTGACTGTCTAGTTGTACACATTTACACGCAATTTCTAGATCACGTTGGCATACGGTGCAAGGAAAGTGAAATGCGCTAGAAATCCAGTTAGGAAATACAAACAAATCATCAACAATCATGTTTCTCATTAGCAATAAAGACAATTTAACAGTTTAAAATTTATTACTAAAAGTTATAAATTATATAAGTTATAAATTATATGAAAATATATTGAATTAACAACACACATCAGCTTTCTTCAGAGTTTCTTTCTAGATTTCTTTAATTCTATTTATTGCAAGAATATTTTATTATATTTCTATATTTTACATACAATGTTAAAAGTTGTACTTTATTTAATTCGATTAGAACTCGATAATATATTAATAATAACAAATTTTAAAATTTACGCTGCGTAATTTAATTTAATTTACTTGGAATATTAATCTGCGAAAAATTCGTTTTAATTATAAATTTACATAAATATATACGAATAAATTAAAATATTATTAACAATTATATGCACAAAATAGTTCTAAAGTATTCTAAAGAGATTATATAAAAACATGTTATTATCTTTTCATTGAAATCTTGAATAGCGAACGGAAAATATATGTGGAACATTAATTACATGTAAACTACATGTAAAACTACTTAATAAACTCTGTTACCATGTAGTAGGCTAATTGTATTTTCAATGAAATCTATAATTTTTCTCAGATAGTCGAATACTTTGTTTTATGCACGAATAACCATTCGCAATGAATTACATTTAATCGCCACTAAATGCTTGATCGCCGTAACTTGATCGCAAATACGAGATAATTGCATATAAAGTTGGAACTGCTATGCTTCCTGCTCCAAAACGGCGATTTCGAACGCACACTCCGTTCGTCTCGTAGTTGCAGCTGTAGCGGTAGAATAATAAAAAGTGAAAAGCAGACGAAATATAATGTTTCTCGTAAACGGGAGTCAGTCTGTCAGGTCGCGTGTGACATAACGGCGACGATAATCTCTTCGACGCCAATCCGCCGCGAGCGAAATAGCATACACGGTTGTTTTCCACGCGTCATTATTGCGTTTCGCTTTATCGAGAATGATGCCGAAGCCATTAGAGTTTCTCTAATCAAGCTACTTCATCAAATTGGATGTTATCGGAATAACAATTTGTTTAACGTATCACGTTAATCTTCTTCGCGGTGTTCCCACGATTAGTTCTATACCATTTGGATTTTGACCAATGCATCGCATAACGTTTATATTTATAATTTTAAAATATTTCTACTTCGTAAATTTTAATTCTTCTTCAGCAAAAATGTTTTGGAAAATATATGTATATAGAAATATTTAATTCTCTACATGATAGATATCGCTGATTGTTTTGGAAAAAAATATCTTAAGAGGTTTATCATTATCGCTGAGACGATAATGATTGATAACTCTGAGATAAATAAATTTACGGTTCTAATTACATTAATGTGTATAATAATGATATTTTTCATACGTTATATATATTTATACGAGACAATAATGAAACAAATTAAAATTATTATTATTGTTTTTAATCGGCTATTGCAATAAGACTTAATTTTATTTTGTATGTGTCATACGAATAAGAAATATAAGATAATGAATACGAAGGTTGGATCTTTTAATCACAGTAAGAGGCACAATCGTATTATAATGAATATTCGTATTCACACTGAAAGTGTACGACGGTTGTTAACGCATCGACTTCTGGCTGTTCGCAATGAGAGTTTTCTGAGCTGAGTTGTGTGTAAAGATTATGTTATCGGCTTGGCAAGGGATATCGTAACGCTGTTTTGTAATGCTCTGTTCGATAGTGAATATTAAGCCAACTGTACAACACAGACCACTTTGCAAATTAAACAGCTTTCGAATTACTGATTTACGAATTAAAAAAATATCGATCGAGAAACAAAGTCAAAGTTTATCCGAATAAAAGCAGAAGTTACAATAAGGGTCCTTCATTTAAATATATAGCATTCAATAGTTAATAATAATTTCGGTATAACGTATTTGCATTCAATGGAAAATATTAGAATGGAATATTTATTTCTCTTCAACTTACAAATGCCAAGAAGAGGACTGAGTTTACAATTTTGCACTTATCTATATCAATGACAAATATTAATTTTTATCTATTATTTAATTTCTGTACAAAAGAATTTCGTGTTATAGGTCAAATTAAAAATAATAGTGGATGAAAAGTAATTATTTTGTGTTTTTGCAAAAAAAATATGCTGTTTATGTAAATAAACTGTCACAATAATTCAATCATAATAACATAGAATAGGACATTCAGCCATTCGAGTAGTACATTGTAGTACATGAGTAGGTGACAAACAAGATTAATATAATCGCCTACGTTAATATAGAATTAATATTCTCATACTTATTACATATTCTCAGCTGCATAAAAATATGCATTATCTACGTTTGCAGAGATTGTATTAATTAGTAACGGAAAATGAGGAGAAATACAAATTAGTGCAATGCAAGGTTGGCGCTGTTGCCGTCTAAATAACATTTCCTCCTCGACTCATGTTATTTTACATACGCCTACGTCTACTTGTAGAACAGAGTCATGTGTCCGATTTGAGCGAAATCATGTATCGAGATCGTCGGACGAAATAAACTTTCGAGATTAATGTTCGTGCCTCATAACTCTTATTCTCGAAATTGATAAAAGTTATTTATATGCGTTTTCTTACAGTAAACGTCTCATTACTTTTTCTCTCAAGCAGATACATATCATAATTAACGGCGGAATACAAATTAAGCTATTTCGCTTGCAAATATATTTCGCTTGCAAATATATATGTAATATATAAGATAAAATTATAGCGCACAGAATTACGCACAATAGTATAATTAGAAAATAAATGAAAATATTTTGTAGGTAAATCGCAATTATTTATGACAGTTTTATATGTCAGATTAAGGAAAGCGTTCGAACAAATTTAGAAAAACAAAATTACATTTTCTGGAAAATTTTAAATGTAATAAAATATTCATCAGGTGTCGCAATATGCAATCTTATTTTATGTATTTTTGCTCATTGTACATGTATCATTATTCCAATCGACTACCTGAAAAACGGACGAAGATTATATTCTCGATTTCAATTAAGATGTTGATCATACAGACATCTCACGAACGAAATAAAGGTTTTGATTCTAGGACGATCCTATAAGGAGATAGACGTGAAAGTTTGTCATCATCAACCTAGACAGAGTAGAAAGTCTTTGCTTCCCTTTTTCAAAACGATAGGAACACTAGTCACGTAGATGTGAGTTCATGACTTGTATATGCATTATATTTACGGATTACTTACGTCTATGTCAAGTGTCTGTAATTCACATTGACGTATTCTTCGCCACTTCATTAGAAATCACGTCGCACGTGTGTTATCGGGTAACGCACTTAGGTCGTTGACACGCTATGTGCGATCCGATTGTCAACGGGAAAATAAGTTGAATAATGCTGATTACACAGAAAAATATTTGAAAAAAATAGCGATTACGGGATATTACAGCGTTATGTTTGGACGATATTTTTTATTTTTGTGATTGCTTAATGTATTTTAAATTACATTTTTTTTTGGTGAAAATTGATATTTTATTAAAGATATAAATCTTCTGTTTTTCATTTTCTCACTAACAATTTTTACATTGCAAAAAAATATTAAATAGTCATATTTATACATCTGAATATTTGTATAAT